AGAGCGGGAGAGGGAGAGAGGCGGCGTAGACGTGGAAAGTAGTGGGAAGGGTGTCAACGGAATTGCGACAAGGATGGAGGTATAGTTTCTAGGGAAAACACCCCTGGTGTGCTAAGGAAAGAAAGAGATAAATAAAGACAAACATAAAACGGAAGATAAACGATAAAGGACAACAGAAAGGACAAAAGAAGATTGAAAGAAAGTACGGATGAGAAAGGCATGAAATTAAAAACTGTCCTTTTCTGACGAATTTTTTATCTATGAAAGGAAGATAGAGGCAAATGGTCTGTAAGATATATCAGTAGAAATATTTTCCCCAGCAATTCATCAGATCGGTGTTTTCCCCCCTCCTTTTATTACCTGAAGAATTATGTTTGAAGGTACCATCTTAAAGCTTGTTCATTTTTCTTGCTTTTAAAAGAAAACATACTCATCAATATTGAATAAAAGTCGAGATTTAGTGATTAAAGGAGGTGGACTCGCCGAGTGTCAGAGATAAGATTAACGAGGAAATGGCCGCCAAAGATTAGCGACTTCCAAAGCTTGGGTGTCCTTGAAACATGAAAATTTTAAAAATGTGCATGCTTATGATCAACGTTTTTGAGTAACTTAAAACATACAAATGTCTTTAAATGGACGTAGAAAGTGTTAAGCGAAAAAAAAATCGAAAAAAACATTGCCTAAAGGGAAGAAAAATACCGGTTTCTTGAATGTTGTTAATTTGACGAGCGCCTGATTTCACCACATTGCCTCACAAATGAATACTACGTCATGATCTTTTCCATGTTGGAATCGAACTGTCGTCTTTTGTGTGTAAGCAGACAGCCTAATCATAACACTTCTCGCCCTGCAGTACAAAAGTTTATCGAGATATCAGTATTTCTTAGTTTGAACATTTTAAAAAATCGATCTTTCGCGTGCCATGATGTTGCAATCAACTTTTCATCGTGTCTTTTGGTTAGATAAACTATGACAAGAAAAAGCAGATAAAGTAGGAATTGTTTTAGTCTCCTACCCCGTAGAAGAGTGGAAAATTATTTTATTTTTTCTCGCACACCGTAAAAAATAACTTTTTTAAATTTACAAATTACTTGAAAAGAAAGACGTGAATGGGTTTATTGTTTGCTGTTGTTGTTGTTGTTGCTGCTGCTGTTGTTGTTGTTGTTGTTATTGTTGTTGCTGTTGTTTTTGTTCTCCTTGCTCTTGTTGTTCTTGTTGTTCTTATTGATGTTTTTGTTGTAGTTGTTGTTGTTGTTGTTGTTGTTGTTGTTGTTGTTCTTCTT